GTGAAGAGAGATATTTTCCACTTGGGTGTTGAGTGAGACATTGTTGATTTTAAAATCCAAGTCATATCCTCCACTTTGATATGATGTAAATTCTCTTTCTCATGATTGTGGGTAGTAAGTATGTTTTCTACACGGACAATGACGATGATGTCTTATCTCATAAAATTAACCAATACACTTGTGTTTAAAAAATTTTAAAGAGGAACTACGTGTACCCTGCCTGATCCCCTATTACATGGAAGTTGGTACGTAGGCACTAAGGGTTCGCAACCGCTGAGAGTTCAAAAAGCATAAAAATACTTCTCTTCTCACCTCCACCATCTATTTTTATACAATATTTTATAGCCAAAATATATAGTTTTTACAAAGAGGTTCTTGCGGAGTACCGTAGATGTTTAGGGTGCTAATACCTTCCCTTTGCATAACCAACCCCCTTACCTAGAATATTTCCCCCCTCTTTTGGATTATTCTCTCTTTTCACATTCCTTTGGAAATAATAAAGCGCGGTGGAGATTTTTATTTTGATCTGTGCGAGTTAAGTTAATCTAATGGCTTAGTCTCAATATTTCTACCGCTACAACGTGTCCTACGAGAACCTGAATTAAAGTGGCGACTGCATACCACTAAAGTATACAAAAGCAAGGTGTGGATATGTTTGTGTCATTTCTTGTTTTGGTTTGTGATGGAGAATGAAATGGTTTTGAGACTCAATATATAGGCAAGTTGGAGTAATATGGACCAAAGAAATCTTATTAGGACTTAATTCGTGAGTGCACATGCAATTACCCATATTTTTACACAAATAAAGGGGATTCGCATGTGCACTTCCGAAGCCACCACGTTTTGTATAAAAATAGGTGGTGAATTCGCACATGCATATGTGAATTAAGCCCTGTGTTGTTTTTTTTAGTATTTAAGGTTAATTCGCATGTGCACTTTCAAATTATGCAGAAACAGAAACATAACCATTAAATGAACCAAAGAGGCATGGAAAAAACAAATAATTGTAAAACTAAATATAGATAATATGTTATATATGTATTGAAACATATAGATTTTACAATATGTTCGATAATACATTCAAAAAATGATTCGATTACATTCTAAAATGCACCGAAAGAATTGTCAGCGTTTAAATCTAAAATCGGAACTTTCTTCGACTTCTCCCTATTTGATTCTCTCTCAAGCTCTATCAAATTGGTGAACTCCGTCATTCTATCCAAAAAATGATCCGACCAAGTTTCCGCCTCTTTTGAATGAATTGTCGTCCATTTCACGGATGTGGCCGGAATAGGACAACCTAGTTTCAAATAAACCTGAACAAAATAACGTGACCTAAGGTACCCAATACACATGATGCATCTGGATGGATCATTAGGCGGGGTAGCCCGAAGAGAAAAAATTGTTTCCGAAAAACTATATCCCGTTAAGTCGATAGACACCATCTCATATGCATTTTCTATAAGATGGCCCATTTCGGGGATGCTCGTCCACTTTTCAACCAATGCATGAACAGTAACACTAAGAGCAAGATCATGATGAACTTTATTAAATGCTTTCATAGTCACATATAGACGAGTGTAAGTTCCCTATGCACCACCAACTCAGAAATAAGTGTTTGGCGCACAAGAGTGTGTTTCTCCTCTCCTTGACCAAGAAACTCAGATACGGCCCGATACCTGCAATTACCATCACTCCCCACATCCACGGTTTTTTCAATGTGTTTGTACATAAAAAGTGGCATCTCATCAATGTAGATTATCGGTGGTGGTGGTGGTGGTGGTGGTGGTTGTGGTTGTTTTATAATAGGCGTTGTACGGGGTGGTTTGGAAATCTGAGCTCCCTTTTAACACTTATTTTGGATTTTGGGGTTGGAGAATCTGGGAATATTTCATCAACAACTTTGTGGTAAGAAGGAGTACGCTTTTTGCGTTGTCAGCTTGTGAAGTTTTTACCTTTTTAGGCGCACCTTTAGTTTTCACCGGTTGCGACGAGGATTTCAAATCAGTTGTTTCCAGAAATACGAATTTTCTCAATTGTTCTTTAATGTGCAACTTTGTAGCATCACCCTCTTTAGAAAATTAATCCATAATGACTTCTGACTCGATTGTGATGGTTAAGTTAGATTTACCTTCCTTTGTCAGATCGTAGTCATCAAATCAAAGCTTTTTCCAATGAGTACAAACCTCATCCATAGTATGGGGGATTTGAGCTTATTTTTTTTGAAATAATACAAGCACATGGTAGCCCGTAAGTCATCCTTATTGTACATCCACATTTCAAATTATCTGGCCCCGTTGTTTCTGCTCGTTTCACTACATAAAAAAATTAAATTCAATCCCTCCCAGGATATGTTATGAACCAACTGCCAATACAAAGTGTTGTCTTTGAATCTGTGTTTCAATACATTTTTGCTCCTACCAAATGTTGTTTGAATTTTATTATGTTGGTTTTGGAGAATTTGATTCACAATGTCCCATTCTCTAAAAAGGTCTCCCTTACTATCACCCAACCACTTCTTCAATGTTGCATGTGCAGCTTCCACTTTATTAGTTGTTGTGTTCCCCAAATGTCTAACACGATCTGTCCAAGCACATACAACTTTCTCTTTCACTTGGTCAAGGATACTGGACTCAAAGTACTTTAAGAAATTGGGATATTCGACACACAAGTTCCTAAAGTGTACTACATTCTCAGTATACAACTCTTCTATAGCAGAATTAAGAATATTAGTCCATGCACCCATTATCTTCTCAACTACAACACTGGATTTGACCATGTTTCCGCCGTCACCCTTTTTCTCTTTGGTGCCAAGCGCGGGTTTTATCCATGCTCTCACATTTTTTGTTATATAATACCGACAAATTATTGCGGTTGACGAAGGAAATATAATGCCAACCGCATTCATAAGGGTATTATCTCGGTCGGTAACAATTACCGTAGGCATATTTTTTGGATCTTTCAACAAATTCTTGCAAATATCCAATGCCCAAGTGATGTTGTCTTCTTTCTCACTTTCTAAAAAACCAAATCCAACCAAAAACGTCTTGTCTGTAGAGGTGACACCAATAATTTCTAGAAGCGGAAGCCTATACTTGTTGGTCTTGTACGCCGAATCAATCATAAGAACGGTTGGAAATATGTTGAACAAATTGATACTTTTCGGATGCGTCCAAAAAATGTCACGAATACTTACGTTGTCCTCACAAACTCTGTGCCTAGAAACGTAATGGTTATCGTCCAAACATTTCAATAAATGTTGCATTTCGGACCTCGGGCCTCTTTGTGCAATGTGTTGTTTATAACGATAATTGTAAACCAACTTGATATTTAAAACACATTCCACTTTATTCCGTTTCAAACCGACAAGTATGTTTCTCGGTGCAACTTTGATCAACGACTATTCGGAAGTAAATTCCTTCTCTACCGGCTTAAGCCGACATACAATTGGATGCCCGTGTAACTTGGTGTCCAACGCATGATTATGCATACCGGACATGATATTAAACTGCCATAAATCATCCATCCTACAATATGCTCACAATTTAAATGGACACCCACATTTCCTCGATCTCGTGTCATCATGTTTTTGGAACATATTTTCTACTTCTCTCGCATGTCATCACAATAAATAGTTGCTGATTACTAGTCCCATTGTCATACATTTCAATCACAACACCAAATTCGAGTTTGTTAGCTTCTATTCAAACCTATTCAAGCATATGTTGACGAGTGGTGAATATTTTATCATTTGGAAAATTTTGTCCATGATCTATCACAACATCGATCATTTTATCAACGTCCTTCACCTCATTCGGCTTATTGTCTTCATTGACCTTGTCCGAAACCTTTACGATAGCTTTGACAATGTTGTCGGGGTGCACCATACCTAACATGTTCAAAAAAACATGAATTTTGTTAAAACATAATTCTGGTTTTGTAACAGATATTTATTCGGATGCGCACTTGCGAAGTTTGGCAGGTGGCCTTCGCAGGTACATATGTGAAGTGACATTGTTTTCTTCTTCAACAAAACGGCTTCAGTGCAGCTAATGTATGATAAAGGGATGAAAGTTTACCTCAAATTGCAGTTTTTAATGCTCACTTTGCTAAACTCAAACACTTGAAACTTGATTTAGAGACGGAAAATTCATTGAGATTGATTGAAGTTTGTTGAGGGTTATTGTTAGAGGAAAAGAAAATGAATGAAATAGTTGAAATAGGTGACCATGCAACATTTTAATATGGAAAGGGAAGTTTCGCATGTGCACATCTGAATTCACCTCTTAAGATGTTTCGCATGTGCAAAAAATCTAACATTTTAAAATCTAATGTTTCACAATATTTTAAAATCTAACGTTTAAATATTAAAACGTGCAAAAAAAAAGTGTTTTTGCATATGTATTTTTAAAACATTCTAATATGTGAATTCGCAAGTACACATACAAAACATATTTTTGGATTTTTATCGGTGAAAATCACTATTATTAAATGTAAAGAAAAATTCTCTTAAAAGTCTCGGTTCATAATGGGACATGTCAAGTTGAATTTAGTGTTAATGGAAAACTACCCTACTTATAGTTCTTTTCAAGAGCATAAGAAGTACTAGTATTATATTTAAATTATAAAGCATCATTTCATAAAACAAAGTCCTTCTTCCATTATAATTTTCAACCTTCTTTCATTCATTTAAGTACTAGTACATTACATAATATACATCACATTAATGCACTTTTTCTTTGACGGACATTAATGCACATATTAATTCATTCCCAAATTAACATCTATCCCATGAATCCAGCTCACCAACCCTATGATTTTTCCCATTCATCCATACTATCAAAACATCGACTAACATATCTTGAATCTTCATCTTTAGAGAGCCTAATTCCCATAATACCCTTCTATCATAAAAAAACCAAACATTCCCAAGAAGAAAAAAAACAAAGGCTAAGAACATGAGAAAAGAAAAACCTAGTACTAGTAGCATACTGTTTGAACTACGCCACCATTCTAGTACTGCTTCTACCACCAAACTCAACTACATTACCATTACTATCCCTTTCTCTTCGAACCTCAGGTACACCACTGAACAACTCTCCAACAGAACTAACAACGCAACACTTCCTAACACTGTTCCGCACAGTTTTCTTCTTACCGTTAGTTTCAGAAGAAGAACAAGACTCATTCGAGTTTGGTGATAACGGTATAGGCAAAACAGACGGTATCTTAAAGTTTGTCCTAGCCTTAGAGCCTCTCAGTCGCCTAGCTGCTGCGTCGTAGGCACGCGCCGCTTCTTCAGCCGTGTCGAATGTTCCTAGCCAGTGACGGCACCGACCGATTCTGTCGCGGATTTCCGCTGACCATCTTCCCCATGGTCGTTTTCTTACTCCTCTGTAGCTCTTGCTTAACGGAATGGTGTTGGTTTTTGGGAGTTCTGTTGTGGTTATGGGATGTGAAACGGCGTTGGTGTGGTGGGAACCGAAGAGGATTTGTTCTCCGACAACCGCGGCGATTCCTTCGAGAGATGTTTGATGAAATGAGAAGTATGGATTGTGTTTCGGAAGATTTAACGTTGTTGTGGTTGTGGTTGTTTTTGAGGGGTCGTATGAGAAGTTTTCAATGTTCATGGTGATGGTGTTTTTGTGTAATAGTGTGAGTTTTGTTCAACGCAGAATGGTCATGGCTATATATGAAAGTTTGTAGTGGAAGAAATATGTATTTTTTTTTTCTTAAACAAAAGAGAGATAGATATGTGTTGTACTTATTTAGTAGTAATTGAGTAGTGGAGTATTTTATGTGAGAAAGGAGATTTTGCTGTCACTGTCGAAAAGACCGTAATCCCTCATATTTACATGTTTGTCTTTTCTAGGCTAGCTCTCTGGTACGTAAGGATACACCTTTTTGAAGATCGTAAAGTTCTCTAGGGATAAGCATTTTGTTAAATTATGTTTAGCTGAGAAAAGTTATACACACATACTATTTTATTTTATTTTATTCTGATGCGCAACGTGTTATTATAAATACGCAGTGTTAGTACTCGAAGTATTTAAAATTCTGCGTATTGTTATATACGAATATTTTCTTTTTAAATTTATTAAATAATAAATATATTTGATTTTGTATGTAAATCAAATGTATTTATTATTCAATAAATTTTAAAAGAAATTTTTTATTAATAAATAAGGTTGAAGGAAATATATTAGAAGTATATATAAACTGTTCTAACATTTACTTTAAAATGATAATTTATGGTTTGCTTGCAAGGAAAGAAATAGGTTCACGTTAACTATTTTGATTAGGAGTGGTAAAACAAGTTTAGTTTAAAAAATATGTCAATTTTATTGGTAATTTTTGTGAGATAAATCAAAGTTTTAAATTTGTATCCTCTAATATGTATGTTTTGTTCTGATCCGTTTTTAATGAGTTTTTGTAGACCCGAACATTAACATAATTTTTATAAGGTTGAAGTTTTAAAGGTGTAGTGTCCATAGACCCGTTCCACCCTAATTTAGGCGGGCCTAAATTTTAAATCTATTCCCTCAATAATGTTTTCTCCTCCCCACTCTATTTATTACGGACTTTTGTGGGACATATCTAAACGAGACAAGCATGCATGTTTGTCACCTTAGTTTCGTTCGACTTCGAGTTTGTATCACAATTGTTACGAGATCTAGCTCAAGCAAATGCATTAAAAATTTAGCAAGTGTACTAATTCGTCATCAAATAATAAAATTAAATTTGTATCCATAAGAGTGACTCAATTTCAATGCAAAAATACATTGTAGTAAATATGTAAATATGAAAGGTTTTCACATAAAATTTTGGTTAATTAATAAGAAAATAAAATAGATTAAGTTTATTTCTTACTATTTGGAAATTGTGTCTATTTCTTAAAATTGTTTCCCTATTATCATGATGACTAACAAATTAGTTATAACCGATTTTTTTGGCGAATAACTTATCTTTTAATTACAGTCCCTTAATGTCTTAGGCAAATTCGAAATCGTAAGAGGTTTTTTTATATGTTAATTTCTATATTATAATGAATAATTTAATATCTTTAAAGTAATTATTAATTAAACAATTAAATTAGACTAAATTTCAAAAGTTAAGATTAACAATTAATTGCAACTTAGAATTAATTCATACATCTATCATCATATCAAATGCATTGAATACAAATTTAACTGAATAATACTAGAATTACATTTTTATAGAATAATATTTAACAATAACATGTGATTTTACCTGATCAGAAGGGATTTTCAAGGTCTGCGAGCTTTAAGTCAAGCAGTGGTTGAATGTGAAGTGGGGGGAGGTACCTGCAAGACACTTTGATGCCAAAGTAAGATTCAGAGTAAGTGCAAGTAAAGTGTGAGAGTATGGGTGAATGAATGAATACTTGATCCTCTCAAGTGAGAGGGTATTTATAGCTCCCAACACTGGGTCAATGTCCCCATTGTTGGGCTAATCAAGCAGGCCTAAAATGGAGATTGTCATGTCATACGTGTGTAGTGGAGGCCAGCACGTGGTCCCTAACCTGAATTGACTCCTCTGAATTATCAGGAGGACATGGATGTGATCTTTTTGGGGTCAAGAGAACTTCGTGCCATTCGGGGGCGTTGAGTGTCTGCCCCACGAGAAGGGTGCTCACAAGGACCTTCTGAGTATCGTTGGTCCTCCTTGCCTGTCATGAGGTTGTCCCCGAAGGATATATCCTGGTCAGCGAGAGGAATGGAATCACTGCCCGACATGGTCAAGGGCAGACTCCCTCCTACTGGTTTTCTTCTGCAGCATAGTTGGATTGGGCTTTGTATGATGTCTGGGCCAAGTGCAAGCTTAGTCTAGAACAGGAGCCCCCTAAGTCGTTGCGCCTGAGGAAAGAAGTTATGGCTTAAGACCAACTTCCCCGTATGGTAAGCATAGTTTCAGAGGGATCCCCTACCACCTTGAGGGACGGGGTCATTTTTATACGTGGCTACTCGAGTGGAGATTGGAGTGTGTTCACAGAGAAAATTTATCTAGTCCTCGACTCGCAGGGAGACGGAAGTTCGCAGGATGTTTACTTCGTAAGCCACGTGGTGTAGCTTTTAGAATAGAATGATGGCCTAGGCAGTAAGGGTCATTATGACCCTGAACGCGTGGGCGGCGGAGAGACGAATAGTTAACACGTTCTTAAAGGCGACGCTTTGTATTTTGTGCCTACTTTATAAATAGCGCCTAAGGGCTCATTTGTAACGTTTCCAAGATCTCGCTCTCTCTTTTCTCCCTATTGTCCTCAGTTTTCTACCACCCTCAATTTCCTTCTCCAACCGTAAGCTCCGTCGTAGCTTCCGCTGCAGAATCTCTACCAACCTTAATCAAGTAAGTGCTTTTTATGCAATTACTCTTGTTTATAATCAGGTTTTAGCATTTTATGGAAGTTTCTAGAGGGTCATCCCCGTAAACTTCATGGATTTCCCGAAGAATTTTACTATCTGTGGGGTTTTTCCTCGATACATTCATATTTCTCTTCGTGATACTCATGAATTGGCTCGTGAAACTCATATGATCCTTGCAGAACTCATGAAATTTCCTGGAGAATGCATCCTCTCCTTGCAATGTTCATGGGATTTCTCGAGAGATTCATTTAATCCTCGATAGATCCATACTCTCCTCGTAGAGTTCACGAGTTTTTTTACTGCACGAGGGTTCGTCGACCTGGTTTGGTCGTAGCAACCCCCTTTCACTTGTGTTGCGGTGGAAGGGTGGATTTGATTTAGCTTTAGAATTCATTGGTTTCCTCTTCTTTACAAGTGAAATGGTCGAACCAGTCGACAAACTCGAGCAGGTCGAGATAGAAGACATGAGTGAAGCCGACTAGGGTGTCCACTTGAACGACATCGTCACAGATCCGTCATTGTCCTAGGTCAAGGCCAGAGCCTCGAGGGATAACCTCGGTCTTTATCCATACAAGGAGGTAGGCGTACATTGTCGTCAAATATGGCGGCGACCAAGAGGGTTTCATGCAAAATTTCATGATCTTTCGCCCGAAACCTATGGCCAGAATATGCTCGTCTTTCCTGGAAGATCGCTTCCCCATGTACGAGATTGTCTTTAGGGATTTGGGGCTTCGCCTGCCCTTCAGTGATTTTCAAATGGGTGTCTTCAATCATTTGTCCTTGGCGCCCTCCCAACTGAACCCCAACGTGATTACTTCTATACAGGCTTTCGAGATTACTTGTCGATACTTGAGGATTAGGGAGAAGATTCCTTTGTTCTTTAGGGTTTTCCATCTTCAACGGCAATCTAGGGGAGGAAAACATAGTTTGGTTTCTTTCAAGCAATCCAAGAGGCTGTTCCGAATGTATATGGACTATGCCCGTGACTTTAAAGACAAGTGGTATGTCATGCAACTCTCATCCCAAGAGATAGTGGATGCGGTGTTCGACCTAGATTCTCTCGTTGATAAGGATGGGGAAGTTTGTTATGGAGAAGATGGGAACAAAGAGATCAGGAGGCTATCTAAGTTCCTTATCCATTGGTGTCAGGCTCACTATGACCACGGGCCTGGCCACTATCATACTTCTGCTGCCAGCATAGGCGCCGAGGGTGAGGGGGCCTTTGGTATTCTTAACAAATTCGTCGATGGTTTCTTTCCCTCCAGGTGGGTGACGAGGGAGACAACATTCTTGGTGAAGATGGCGAACCAATGTTCGAGGCTCGCCCGATCAACACCAAAGCACTTGTTGAATATCGTACCTACGGGGACGTCGTGGTTCTTTTGGCCCTAATCTCGAGTAGGTCAAGGACGGGTCCAGTTGTTCATCAGGGCCTCATGATGTCGCTCAGTGCGCGGACGCATCGGGAAAAAAGAGGAGTCGCCCTAAAGGCGGGCCTATGGATTTGACTGACGATGGGTTAGGTTCTCGGGCCTTTACCCTTCCTCCTTGCTTTATCGAGAAGGATTTTTTAGAAAGATTTCCTCTGTCCGTGTCTGATGGTGTATCTGCTGTCATCAAGCGTCTCGATGAGGAAGGTAGGAGGAAACATTTGGCCTCGGGCATGGTCGGTCTAAAGAAGGTCGCAGAGATGGATGTCTTCCTCGCATGCGAGGGTGCCAGTTCTTCTGCCATGGTGAGCAAACTGGAGTCGGATAAATAGGTTCTTTAGGAAAAAGCGTATAAGTTAAAGGCTGCTCTCGAGTGAGGCGAGGAAAAGTTCTGGGCGCAGGCTGATGAGTTGGCGAGAGAGAAGGAGAATATGGTCAAAGCCTCCGACGAGAGGGGCTAATTGCTGCTCGAGAAGAAAAACCTGGAGAAAGAGGTCGCTGGTTTGAAGGATGCCATATTAACCATGGAAGACGAGCCTAAAGGAATCGCCAGCTTGAAGATTCGTATGAACTGGCTTCTCAAATCTAGGTCCTTGAGTCGGATTGAATGGAGGCATTGTCCGATGGTTTCGAGATCGTGATGGTTCAGTTGGCCGTGCTGAATTTGGGTCTCAATACTTAAGGCGTTGGAGTTTTATCTCAGGTGGTTAATGGGAACGTAGTCCCTCCTCCCGAATCTTCCGAGCCAGAGACCGAAGAGGTTACTCCGAGGAGTGACTAATATTTTCTTGATGACTTGTTGTTGTTTTTTGGGGC